CCCGCCACAACGCCTGGCTATTTTTTGGTTGCAGCCGTTGGCGGGCCCGGGCTGGGGATTCGAACCCCCCACCTTAGGTGTATGTGGCTGGCACCTTAGCCGGTTGAGCTATAGGCGCCGAGCCATTTTTCTTTATTTTTCTTTATTTTTAACATAGACAAGGTCTTGCACTTTCTTAGGCTGGTCTCAAACTACTGAGCTTAGGCAATCCACCCATCTCAGCCTCCCAGAGTGCTAATGTTACAGGTGTGAGCACCATGCTCAGCCTATTTTTTTAATTTTTTGACAGTCTCACTCTGTTGCCTCTGACTCCAGAGTAGCTGGAGCTACAGTCATGGGCCACCATGTCCGGCTACATTTTCTTCTTTTCTTTTTTTTTTCCGGCTACGTTTTCTATTATTATTATTTTTTTTTGAGACAGCTTCTCACTATGTTGCCCTCGATAGAGTGCTATGGTGTCACAGCTCACAGCAACCTCAAACTCTTGGGCTTAAGCAATTCTCTTGCCTCAGCCTCCAAAGTAGCTGAAACTACAGGCACCTGCCACAATGCCCGGCTATTTTTTTTTTCTTCCTGTTTTTGACTGGGGGCTGGGTTTGAACCCGCCACCTTTGGCATGTAGAACCAGCACCCTACCCTTTTGAGCCACAGGCGCTGCCTTATTTTCCTTTTGTTGTAGTTGTCAAGACAGGCCCGGGCCCCTTCAAACCTGCCAGCCCTGGTGTATGTGACCAGTGCCCTGGCCACTGAGCTACAGGCCCTGTGTCTAGTTTTTCTATTTTTAATAGAGACAGGGTCTCACTCTTGCTCATGCTGGTCCCAAACTCCTGAGCTCAAGCAATCCATCCACCTTGACCCCCGAAGTCTAAGATGACAGGTAAGCGCCATGGTGCCCAGCCAAGGCGTAATATTTCAAATGAGGAAATGTTTCTGAGAGTGGATCATAAAGAAGAAAGTAGTATCCACAGGAGAGAGTAGAGATAATGGAGATGCTAGAGGGCAGTGTGCAAGGTCAGGATACCCTTGCAATGCCTCAGTTTTCCTCTAGATCCGGGTCTATGATCCAGCCTCCCCCCAGCGCCGGCCAGTTCTAGAGACCAACTATGGAGACTACCCACTGACAGCCATGACCCTCACTCCTGGGGCCAAGTAAGTGTTTGGAGGGGAAGCGGTGGGAGGGTGGGGTTTGGGAAGCACTCTGGGAGTTTCCTGCTGACTCCACCTACCTCTGCTTTTACCTCAGTTCAGTGATTGTGGGGAACACCCATGGGCAGCTGGCAGAAATTGACTTTCGGCAAGGTGAGTGAACTAGGGATTGTTAGGGGAGGGAAAGGGACAGCATAAAAGGGCAGGATTCCCTCTGAAGCAGTACAGTAGAGCTAGTGAGCCCTCATTCAGGAGCTAGATTGCCTGGGTTGAAATCATGGTTTCTTTTTTTTTTTTTTTTTTTTTTTGAGACAGAGCCTCAAGCTGTCACCCTAGGTAGAGTGCTGTGGCATCACAGCTCATAGCAACCTCCAACTCTGGGCTCAAGCGAGTCTCCTGCCTCCGCCTCCCAAGTAGCTGGGACCACAGGTGCCTGCCACAACGCCCAGCTAGTTTTTGGTTGCAGCCGTCATTGTTGTTTGGCGGGCCCAGGCTGGATTCGAACTCACCACCTTAGGTGTATGTGGCTGGCGCCTTAGCCACTTGAGCCACAGGCGCAGAGCGGAAATCATGGTTTCACCAAAGCTCTATGACCTTGGACTACTACTTCAACTTCCGTGCCTTAGTTTCCTCACCTGTAAAATTAGTGGAAACTCCAGTTGATGGCATAACTCAGTGTTATGTTGAGGATTAAGTGTCAAACTGTAAAGTGATTGGAACATGAAACAATAAATAGTTGCTGGCGGTTAATGAACACTGATACCTCCCCCTTCTCCAGGGCGCTTGCTGGGCTGTCTGAAGGGATTGGCAGGCAGTGTCCGTGGTTTACAGTGCCACCCTTCAAAACCCCTATTAGCATCTTGTGGCTTGGACAGAGTCTTGAGGGTACACAGGATCCAGAATCCACGGGGCCTGGAGCATAAGGTAAGAACCCAACCCTCTAGATCTCACCCCCTCTGCTTAACTTGGGAGTCTTGTGGAGCCCTCTCCTGGGTGTTTCCTCATTCATGTTTCTATTTTAGCATGCCTGGCTTCCTTAAGGCCCCTCATCTTTTGCAGGTTTATCTCAAGTCTCGGTTGAACTGCCTCCTCCTATCAGGCAGGGATAACTGGGAGGTGAGTAGGTGGTCTGGGAGCGGGGGAGTCCAGGGCATAGAAGTGAAGATTTCCCTGTGTAGAGAAAAAGGAGGCAGCTGGCGCAGACATAGGGGCTATCCATTTACTTGCCTAGTTAGTTTCTTTGAGGGGCATTAACAGTTGAAATCCCGGCTCGGCGCCTATAGCTCAACCGGCTAAGGCGCCAGCCACGTACACCTATGGTGGCGGGTTCAAATCCCCAGCCCAGACCCGCCAAACAACAATGACGGCTGCAACCAAAAAATAGCCGGGCGTTGTGGCGGGCGCCTGTGGTCCCAGCTACTTGGGAGGCGGAGGCAAGAGACTCGCTTGAGCCCAGGAGTTGGAGGTTGCTGTGAGCTGTAATGCCACGGCACTCTACCCAGGGGGACAGCTTGAGGCTCTGTCTCAAAAAAAAAAAAAAACAGTTGAAATCCTGACAGGGTTATCACTAAGGGTGGCATACCTAAGAACACAGATGGGAATGATTTCTGGGAGCAGGGGATAAAGGTGGTGGTACTCAGAGGGGTTGTTTTTCAGCTAGGGTCCCACAGCCCGTGACTCCTAAGTTTTGTTCACCCTATCCAGGATGAGCCCCAAGAGCCTCAAGAGCCTAACAAGGTATCCCCAGAAGACACAGAGACAGATGAACTTTGGGCATCTTTAGAGGCAGCAGCCAAGTGGAAGCCTCCTGATTTGGAGCAGACCCAAGAGGCCCTCCAAACCAGAAGGAGAAAAAAGAAGCGTCCTGCGTCCACTAGTCCATGAACTTCCTATGCCTACTTTCTAAATAAATAGCTGAACATCTATCATGATCCTTTATCTTTTATGATGAGAGAAAGGAAAAGAGGGGTATCTTGGGGTGGGGGTTCCCTGAGCTGGACGAACAGGATATCTGACGTCACAAAAGCCCAGCCTGGAGCCAGGCAGGCTGGTGTGGGTGGCACGGAGTCCAGGGCTGCGCGGGGCCATGGGCTGCTGCCAAGACAAGGACTTTCAGACCTCTGATGAGCAGGCCAAGGACTGCGACTATGAGGACGGTGGGACCCTGGACAGAGGGCCCAGGGAGAGGGGGCGGCCAAGGGGGACAGCCAAAAGGTTGGACGAGGGGGGCGGGAGAGTAGAGCTGAGCTGAGCGGCCTCGCCGTTCCCTCAGGCGCCAGAGATAATGACAAGGACTCGCCTGACCACCGGAATAATAATAAGTCAAACGAAAGCCTTCTGATCACCGTGCTGTGGCGGCGGCTATCATTGTTCAGTCGTCGGGGCTCTTCGCGACCATCAGGCAAGAAGCAGTCAGAGCAGGTTCCTAAGCGCGGGAGTACGATCCACGTGGGCGCCCAGGAGGAGACCCAGGAGGAGCCGGAGAAGGGGTGACCCCAGCTCAGCTCTCAGTCTGCCCCAGCCTCCAGAGAATAAAATTTCTAACGTGGACCTGCACGAATACTTGTGCCTCTACTGCCCGTTCTCGGCGTTTCGGGAGCGGACACCTCTGGGCTGCGGGCTCTTTAAGGCCTGAGGTGGGCTCTACCCCAAGGGCTCTGGTTGCAGTTCCTCAGGGTTGGGGGTTACGGTGATGGCCTAGCCAATGGGAGAGTGGAACCGCTCTTGCGTTTGGTAGGGTAGGCGTGGCTCTCGGGTAGCTGGGCTTGAAAAGGTGTGGTACCGCCCCCTCGTCACCGGGGGTGGGGCTACGTGTGGGTGACGTGGCGGCTTCCAGTCTTTGGTCCGGTTTCGGTGGCTTCGGCCCTCAGTTAGGAGGCTGTGACGGCCCAGGAGACTGTGGCAGTGGCGACGGCGGCAGGCTGTAGAAAGGAGGTAAGATTCGCTCTAAGAGGGAGTCTGGCCGCCTGTCAGCTCCGGGACAGCCCCTTTACTGGGGCGACGACGGGCGGGGGGAAGGGAATCCGGGGCAAGCGAGCAAATCCTGCCGGCCGGGCTCTGGGTGAGCGAATACTTTGCTGTCCAATGAGGAAGATCCTTTTTGAGAAAGACGTCGGCATTAGCTAATTAGTGGTTGCAGTCTCCCAGAAGGCGGTACTTGGGAGGGGTGGGACTTCCTGTTTCAAATAAACACCCAGAGGTCTGCCCCTCCGCCCTCCGAAGTGTGTCCATCCCGGGAGGTCCGTCACCGTTTTCTCCCTGAGGGGTCGGAGGAACCCACGGATGCGAAAGGGCCAGGTTAGGGCCTGGGGCAGTTGCACAGCTGGGGCTGGAGTCTGAGGACCACGGGACCTGGCTCTGAGTCTGTCTTTGCTTCAGGGTCCCCGGGCCCGCGCTCTGGCCGCCAGAGCCAAGTTGGAAGAAGTCTGAGGAGGGTTCGACTTGGGCCAGGGAGGAAGCGGGGCCCTTTCTGCTGTGGGGCCTGCCCCAGGATCTGCGAGTGCCTTGGGCGTGAAAGAACTCACCAAGTGAAAGGGCCCGAGGATTTTGCTGGTTAGCGGGAGTTTGTGGGGAAGGAAGCTACCTGGGGAATGACACTCTCCCCTCCACAACAGTCCGAGGTTATGCGTCTCAATGATCCCGCGGAAACGCTACGGGTCTAAGAACACGGATCAGGGTGTCTACCTGGGTCTCTCAAAGACACAGGTCCTATCCCCTGCAACTGCTGGCAGTAGCAGCAGCGACATCGCCCCTCTGCCCCCCTCTGTGGCCCTGGTCCCTCCCCCTCCGGACACCATGTCCTGCCGGGATCGGACCCAGGAGTTCCTGTCTGCCTGCAAGTCGCTGCAGAGCCGTCAGGTAAGGACTTGGAGTGGGAAAGGCTAGGAAGGAGCCTTATTCAAACCTGGGAAGGGCTGTGCTCCAGCACTGTTATTCTTGGGGGCATCTGGTGGAACTGGTAGGTTTGGATGGGGCCGGTAGGGTTTATTAAGCACTAGAGAAGAGGTGGGCTAGCTAAGGGAAGACCAGGACTTTTTTTGTGAGGATCCTCTGGAGGGCAGGATTGCTACTCTGGAAAGAATACCTAAGGGCCAAGGGTGACTGCAGTGTCTTTGGTTTGAATAAGGAACAAGTTCTAGAAAGAGGCTTTAGCTTTTTTTTTTTTTTTTTGAGACAGAGCCTCAAGCTGTCTCCCTGGGTAGAGTGCTGTGAAATCACAGCTCACAGCCACCTCCAACTCCTGAGCTAAAGCGAGTCTCCTGCCTCAGCCTCCCAAGTAGCTGGAACCACAGGTGCCTTCCACAACGCCCAGCTATTTTTTGGTTGCAGCCATTGTTGTTAGGCAGGCCCAGGCTGGATTCGAACCTGCCACCTTAGGGGTATGTGGCTGATGCCTCAGCCACTTGAGCCACAGGTGCCGAGCCAAAAGAGGCTTTAGCTTAGAGAGTTGCACCTTGAAATGCAAGTTCTACTTGGTTCTACTACAGCTGTGCTGTGACCATGGGGAGGTTAATCTAGTTAGATCTCGAAAGTTTTCTAGATTAGTAATTTGTATAAAAATCACTTTGGAAGCTCAGCGCCTGTGGCTCAAATGGCTAAGGCACCAGCCACATACACCTAAGGTGGCGGGTTTGAATACAGCTTGGGCCCACCAAACAATAATGACAGCTGCAACCAAAAAAAATAGCCAGGCGTTGTGGCAGGCGCCTGGGGTCCCAGCTACTTGTAAGGCTGAGGAAGGAGACTCACTTGAGCCCAGGAATTGGAGGTTGCTGTGAGCTGTGATGCCACGGCACTCTACCCAGGGAGACAGCTTGAGGTTCTGTGTCCAAAAAAAAAAAAAAACCACTTTGGAGTACTTTTTTATTCATTTTTTGTTTTTTTATTTTTTATTGTTTTAGAGACAGAGTCTCACTTGTCGCCCTGAGTAGAGTGCTGTGGCACTACAGCAATCTCTAGCTCTTGGGCTTAGGCGATTCTCTTGCCTCAGACTCCCAAGTAGCTGGGACTACAGGCACCCACCACATTGCCTGGCTATTCTTTGTTGCAATTTGGCCAGGGCTCAGTTCAAACCTGCCACCCTTGGTATATGGGGCTGGCGCCCTACTCACTGAGCCACAGGCGCCACCCTGGAGTTCTTTTTTAAAATGTAGATTCTCTTGTTTCAGTCCAGACTTTCTGAATCTAAGTGGGACCCAAGTAACTGTATTTTAAAGTATTTTTGTTGTTCAACTCTTGTTAACAAGTGTTCTTCTGTATGATCTCCAAGAGCTTTCCAGCTATTCTCTGATTCCCTGATCAAGGAAGAGAATGGTAATACTGTCCACCATTTATTTAGTATTTACAATGTACTGGGTAGTTAGCTAAAGTACTTTTTAGCTTTTATGTTATTTAATCTTAGCAACAACAATAGGAGGAAGATGGATTGTGTTCATTTTATAGGAGAGGAAATAGGGATTCAGAATGGTTTAAGTAACTTGCCCCAAATTCCCCAGCTGGTAAGTGGTAGAGTCAAGAGTTGTGTCTAAGTCTACTTGTCTTCAAATCTGAGCATTAAACTATTGCCACTGATAAAGCTAGTTTATCTGATGACGGACACCACCACTACTAGAGAAGGAGTTTAGTGGATACCTGAAGAAGAGTGAATGCTGGAAATAGAAAGGGGAGAACTAAATATCCCCTTGTCATTGCTTTTCAGAATGGAATCCAAACCAATAAACCTGCTCTGCGTGCGGTCCGGCAGCGCAGTGAATTCACTGTCATGGCTAAGTGAGTTGGGAGAAGCTGTGGTGGGGTGCTCTAATGTCTGAGGAGAAACAGACATGGTGGCCTTAGCTATGAGGGCTGAGATTGGTTGTGCCTGGGCTAACATGGGAAAAGTTTCTCTCCTGCTTTTTCTCACAGTGTTCTCACTAATAATCATTTGCAGGCACATTGGCAAAGACCTTAGCAACACATTTGCCAAGCTGGAGAAGCTGACAATCTGTGAGTGTTCCTGGGGTCTTTCAGAGGTGGGGCAGTGAACCAAAGAGGGCTGAGGAGTCAAACTTCCTGAGCCTTGTCTCTGACCCCATCTGTGGTGGTTTCTCATTTATTTCTGTAGTGGCAAAGCGCAAGTCCCTCTTTGATGATAAAGCAGTGGAAATTGAAGAGCTAACATATATCATCAAACAGGTGAGCCAATAACTACCTGAAGAGCCCAGTATTCCAATCAGATCACTTCCATCATTTTCCATTGCCGTGGAGGCCCGGAGTAAGTTTTTAGAGCCAGCCCAAAATGTAATTAACGTGTGTGTGTGTGTGTCTCGAGTGACTTTTCCAGGGCTGAGACTACTTTATTTCTTTATATTTTTTAAACGCTATTTATTGCTAAAAATTGACAGCATTAGGGAGATAAAGTTGCTGTTACTACCAAAGGGCTGGAAGCTTGATGCATGTAAGTTTGAAATTGCTGCTACTCACATAACTGTTTAAGATTCATTTGGATTTTCATGGAAAGGCATTAAGAAGGTTAAAAGAAGATCCACTAATTTAGACTGGAATTTTTTTTTTTTTTTTTTGAGACAGAGCCTCAAGCTGTCCCCCTGGGTAGAGTGGCATTACAGCTCACAGCAACCTCCAACTCCTGGGCTTAGGCAATTCTCTTGCCTTAGCCTCCTGAGTAGCTGGGAC